CTGCCTGGAGGTGGAATTAATTACCCAGATGCAGTCGCAAAGATGCAGTAAACATTTGGTTCTGCCATAAATGTGAACTCACACATTGCTTCGATTCATCCCTAAAATGCATTTGCAGAATACAAACACAACTCAGTCCATCACAACAGCTTCCTCTACATTCACAAATATGACAAAGAACAATCACGGCGTCGACTCGTCTGTTAATCTCCTCAGATTGCAATCTAACTAGAGAAATTGCATTTCCTGTGAAAATACAGTGTGAATGCTTATTGCTGAAGAACTTGCTAAAAAAAACAGTTGAAATTAGCTAAAAGCATGTTGCAATGTAGCTGAAATGGAAGGACAAACCTAAGTTAGAAGAAGAAATCAGAAAGAACACATATTTGATGAATTTGGTTTAAATAAGCAGAAATGTGCACAAAATTAGGAAATTGGCTAAAAAAGCTGAAATTAGAATAAAAAATAAAAAAAACCTGAAAAGTAGCTGAAAAGGCAGGAAGAAGATTAAACTGCCAGAAGAAAGTGGAAGAAGATGAAATGAGCTAAAAAAAAAAATATATTTTTTAAGTGGAATTAGCTGAAAAAGCTCAATTTAGCACAAAACAGCTAAATAGTAGCTGAAATAGTATAAAGCTGAAAGGAGCATAACAAGTTGAAATTAGCAGAAATAAGTTAGTTAGGTTGAAAGTGATGGAAATTACCACGAAAAACTTGAATTTATCTGAAAACAGCTGAAATTAGCTAAAAAATGCTAGTTAACTGAAAAGGTAGAACAAGCTTAAATTAGCAGAAGGAAAAGAAGAGAGCACAATTTTGCCCATTTAGGCTGAAAGAAGCAAAAATTAGCACAATAAAGTGGAATTTATCTGAAAAAAATTAAATAAATTAGCAAAATAACAGCTGAAAAGTAGCTAAAAAAGCAGAGAGGCGCTGAAATTACAAGGAGGAAGTAGAGAGAGCACATTTTTGCTGAATTAGGCTGAAAAAAGTTGAAATGAGTGCCAAAAATGTGGAATTAGCTGAAAAGGCTTAAATTAGCATAAAAACAGCTAAATAGTAGCTGAAATAGTGGAAAAAGCTGAAACGTGCAGAAATAAGCTGAAAGGAGTGTAACAAGCTGAAATTAGCAGAAAGAAAGAAGAAGCACAAAAATTTTGTTTTTTACAGAAAGAATCTGAAAGGAGCACAAAACAGCTGAAATTAGCTGGAAAAAAGTTTAAATTTATACAAGGAAGCTGAAAGAAGCTGAAGCAGAACAAAATCCAAAAGGAGCAGTAAAAGGTTGTAAACAGATCTAAAGATATGAAGGATGTAAAATGAGCTCAATTCATTTTCTATGAGGAAAAAAAAAGGCAGAGGAGGCTAAATATTTCAAAAAGCTAAAGTTACACCAATACCAAAAGTCATAGCAGGACTGTCCTGAAAGAGCTGAACATTTTGATTTATGATTTGTTGAAATAGCTTCAAAACTGTGGGACGAGAATTATGCTGAAAATGTACGGAAGAAAAATGGATCACAATAGTGTGAATGCTTCATAAAAATTCACACTATTAAGAGTCGGTGGGATAAGCCAGAACTCGAACCAGATCCATTGAGGGTTCACCCTGCATAATCTGCTGCAAACACCCCAGTGTCACCACAGGACAAAAAGATACTGTCAATGCCTCGATGAGTCACAGCTATTTTGGAGATACGGGGGTGAGTGTAAAATATTAGGAGGATGGCTAAAACCGTAGAATACCAGCAGCAAATCATACACACGGAACAGGCTCACAAACAAAACAAACAAATATACCAATATAAAAACTGTGCTGATTTGGATGCATTTAAATGAACTAAATGTTTTATTTTCGCTTTGCAAAGGAGATTCATGTCTCAAGCCACATCCAGATTGATTTATTCAGCATTTGTTTTTAGAAAAAATATACTTTCACACAATTTAGTTAGTTTTGAGGATATCAAGAAAGGCCAAAGAGGATGCAGTTAGAGAGGACATGGACGTAGTTGGAGTGAGGACAGAGGATGCAGAGGACAAAGTGAGATGGAGGAGGAAGACGCGCTGTGGAGAGCCTGAACAAGGAACAGCTAAAAGAAAAAGACTTGCATTGATGAACTAAAAATACTAACTTGTCCTGTCTCTCAGCTCAACTCAACATCTTGTGGACATGCTAATCCTTCACATTCTGACACTGATTGCATTTGTTGATGCATCATCTTTAACCTATAATACTCTCTAAAGTATATTAGTGTTTTTTTTCTCAGAACAACAGTCAGGCAGATCAATAATTAACTTTTAATCCAACACTCAACCGAGAAGAAATCTGAGGAAAGAGGAAAGAAAGTCAACCACGTTCTTCGGGCTCAGAACCATCCAGCTTGACTGGAAGGAGTAGCACCCTGCCAAGTGTTGGATCAGTTCAAAACTCAAGTTTTAGCAAATCTTAGGTCTGCAGCCAATCAGGACCAATACAGCAAGTCACAACAAAGATAAATCTGAAACAGGACTCTCCAACGTGAGACTGCTGGAGGCTGGGAAACCAGAGGCAACCGATGGTTTCCTGCAACGATACGCTGTTTTTAATTCAGTCAGGATGCTGCATGCGAACGGCTACGAAGCGCATGAGGTAACGTGAGAAGCTGCTTATGTCAGGAGTTTTGCACATTAAACGAACAGACAAGATGTGTGCACCGGAGTCTGACTCTCAAGTTGTGTAACTGCGTGGTTAAATCAATCTTTTATTTGAAAAAGAAGAAGCTGGGAAATATGTTTGAACATTTATTAGGGTTATGTAACTATTTAAAAAGCTGGGTTTTGCTCGTATAATGCATTGTTCCTTCTATATTATTCCTCTTTTTTTTTTTTACTTTATATAACCCCGTGTGTTGTGCATGTGCCAGGTGAAGCACAGCTCATACCTTTGAACTACTTAACCTGCGCCTCATTGCACTCATCTGCACAATCCCAAATAATAGGGGAAAAAATATACACTTAAAAAAAAAAAAACCTTCCTTTTGTTGCTTTTCAGAATCTCATGCAGTAAAGAACACATGATCAACTCAACATTTCGTTCAGACATTCTCAGAGTAAATCCTGTTTTTGATCCTCCTCTGGACACTTCAGCAGATTCATTTGATCATATTACCTGTTAACAGAACAGAGTGGTCTCAGTCTCCCGTTTATTTCAGCATCACTTAAAATAACCACATGTAACGCGACACAAGCGGCTCGCCTCTGTGGTCCTGTGTCGATTTCCACCAGAAACGTTGAATATTTTTAGCACATCTGGCTCCTTCGGGACAGGAAGTCCTGCCTCGTGGATTCCCACATTGGGAATGAGGGACTTGTATTGAAGTGATGAGAAAGATGAGCAGAGCTGACACACATGGAAGCACAGAAAGTGTGTTGACCAGATTTTAAGAGAGGGAAGCAAAAGCTCCAAAGGACACGTTCAACAAATACGACTGTTTTGACAAATGGTATATAATGATTAGATTTACTGCAGAAAAAATTATTAATTCTGCTAAAGAAACAAAATATGCATACTTGCCCATTCTACTGTATCTTTAAATGTAAAAACTGTAAGCTAATTTTGAGAACAGTGCCCAACACATGGTTTGTTTACTTACAGAAAACAACCAAAGTGACTAAAAAAAGATCCAGAATGGAAACGTCCATGGAAGAATGGTTTGGGATGGAGAAGTTCGACTACTTAAAAGTACTGGTTTGTATTTTTGTTTGGATTTGTTGTGTAAAGTAAGCAAAAAACAATTAAGTTTACTATCTCAAATGGTACTTTTACAAGTTGTCTGAATGCTGAACTCAGCCTTTATGGCACCCCACCATCATTTTGTAATCCTCGATATTTATTCTATCAGTCGTTTTATCAGATTTCTCTTTTCTTTCGCATTAAGCAGCAGATTCATCTGCACCTCCAGATGCAGGAAGAGAGCCACCTGCATCACGAAGGACCCCACTCACCCAGCACACACATTTTTTTTGTACCGCTCCCCTCAGAAAGGAGTTGAGGAGCATTAAGTGTAGAACCACTAGACTGAGGAACAGCTTCTACCCTGAGGCTGTTAGACTCATGAACATCTGACCAGAATAATGACTGTGAAAAAAATCACATCATGTTGCTGCTGATGTTTCATGTTGCTGCTGATCTGTTTCATGTTGCTGCTGATCTGTTTCATGTTGCTGTGTTCATGCGTGTTCATCTGCTCACACAGACTCATGTTCGTGCTGTTGTTCGACGTAATGTTTTTTTTTTATGCTATTAGTTCTTAGTGTATTATTTAGCTGATGGTTTTCTTAGTTTATATCTTTGATCTTATTGCTGTTTTTCTTTTACATTTTATTGTTGGATGTAAATGGGACCCTGCATACATAATTTCGTTCCACCACATGTACCATATGAGATGCGAATGATAAATAAATCTCTCTGACTCCGATTTTCCATATTTCCCCCTGAATATCTTAGAGATTCGCCGCTTGAGCTTTGGAGCTAGGTTGTTGAGGGCTTTGTAGGTTAGAAGTAAGATTTTGAATTCAATTCTGAAATTGACAGAGAGCCCATGGAGAGAAGCTACATGATCTCTCCTATCAACTAGGATCACCTTTATATGTTTGATTTTGTAGTGAGCACCTTGAAATGATTGAAAATAGTGTTGAGTTGAGAAACTGCACTTTTATACACATTAATTATGTTTTAATTCTCAGGTGTCTTGTGTGTGTGTGTGGGGGGGGGGGGGGTTGCCCTGACTACAGGACAGTGTGAAGGTATGGCGCCTGCACCTCCTCTGGTCATTATGGACACAAACACACGCACGCGCACATATAAAAAGCTTGCCACTGCGACAGCGACGCTTGGAGCAAAAGCTGGAAACACCTGAGTCGTGACGAGGTCACGGAGCGGCCTCAGAGTACAAAGAGTCCAGCAGCTGTTCAGGTTCAGCAAGCACCCACCAACACGGAAGGACACGCAGAAATACTCACGCTCTTCTTCCGCAGGTGCAGCCCGTGCTTCAGAAGCCCCGGCAGGTCCCGGATCTTGTGTTTGAGCTGCGCCTGGTCTCGCGCGCTCCTGTTCCACCGCAAACCCGCGAGCAAGCCGTCCTCTGCGGGCTCCGAGTCCTCCATGGTTCGCCTCCTCCTCTTCCTCCTGCGTGTCCTCGAGCTGCCTTCGCTCCCGCGCGGTGTCGGTCCGCCTGCTTACTGTCCCCTCACGAGGCGCACCGCCGCCCGCTCGCCATGTCCCCTCCGCCTCGCTCTCTCACCGACCCGCATCTGCAGCTTAAACCGCGCGCGGCACAGTTCACGAGCTACTCAGGAGGAGTGTGGTTCCGCAGCACGCGACGCTGCTCCACCCTGTGGCTCGCGCGTCCCGTTCCTCGGCAGCTACTACCGCCAGTCGTGGAGGGAGGGGGAGGGGGAGGGGGGGTCCAGGTACACAGTCATTGCATCACTTCCACCTTTCATGCGCTCACGGTCAAAGCAGACTACAGTGGACTAGTAATCTTTAATTTGATTAACTGGTTCTGCCGGTTCTGTAGTTTGCTTTGATCTGTCACATAAAGTCTGAAACAGCGCGGAAAGGTGACCATGTTTTGGGGAGGAGGGGGAAAAGTGGGGACTATACGTCATCAAATTACCTGGCTCATATTTCTATAAGTAAACAAAGAGCAGTGAGTTCGTCGCAGGTGTGTGCTGGCTCTTTGTGTGTAGCTCCAGGCTGAAGTTTGTCCTGACCGAGCGAGATTGCGGCTGTCTAATCTGAGGCAGGTGTGCAGCATAAGAGGGGGAGTCCCCTCTAAGGATGAAACGAGGGTCCATGTGTTTTTTTGTTTTTTTTAATAATCCTAACAGGCATCCTAAAGACTCCCAGTCTTTTCTTACTACTTCTTTGAAAGCGGTTGATGTTTACATAACAAAGTGTGGGTGTGTTGGAGGCTTGAGTTTTGACCCCGTGTATCCAGAAAAACCTGATGAAATGTTCAGTTGCTTAATAAGATCACTGATATCAGTTTGTTCAGTCAAAAGAAATGTTGCACCAGCTCATCTTTAGGGTGTATGGACTTAGATAAACGCACAGTTTGACACTTTAGATTGGAAGTGTGTTTTTTTATTATTATCATAATTGTTATAGTCTCAGTGGAAGGCTGAAGCCAAATCCTTTGTTCCTCAGGGTACATTGTGTGTGTGTGGTTGGGGGGGGGGGGGGGGGGGATCTGTGAGTATGGAATTGGGGGCCTGTTGGTGCGAGAGTTTGGTTCTTGTTGCTGGTATAGTCAGACCCCTTCAGGGTGGGAGTTGGACTCCACCAGGGCTGCCCGTTGTCACCGATTCTGTTCATAACTTTTATGGGCAGAATTTCTCGGTGCAGCCAGGGGGTGGAGGGTTTTTGGGTCGGTGGCCTCAGGATTCCATCTCTGCTCGTTGCAGATGATGTGGTCCTGTTGGCGTCATCGTGCCGTGATCTTCAGCTCTCACTGGAGCGGTTCGCAGACGAGTGTGAAGCAGCTGGGATGAGAATCAGCACCTCCAAATCTGAGGCCATGGTCCTCGGTCAGAAAAGAGTGGATGGTTCTCTTCAGGTCAAGGGTGAGGTTCTGCCTCAAGTGGAGGAGTTCAAGTATCTCAGGGTTTTGTTCACGAGTGAGGGAAGAATGGAGCGTGAGATTGACAGACGGGTTGGTGCAGCATCTGCAGTATTGCGAACTTTGTACCAGTCCGTTGTGGTGAAGAGAGAGCCGAGCTGTAAGGCAAAGCTCTCTGTTTACCGGTCAGTCTACGTTCCTACCCTCACCTATGGGCACGAACTCTGGGTAGTGACCAAAAGAATGAGATCGCAGATACAGGCGGTTGAAATGAGTTTCCTCCACAGGGTAGCTTGACTCTCCCTTAGAGATAAAGTTAGAAGTTCAATTATCCAGGAGAGACTCAGAATAGAACCGCTACTCCTCCACGGCAAGAGGAACCTGTTGAGGTGGTTCGGGCATCTAGTAAGGATGCTCCGTGGCGCCTCCGGTGCTTCGGGCATGTCCGACTGGGAGGAGACCCCTGGAAAGACCCAGGACACGCTGGAGAGACTACATCTCTCAGTTGGCCTGGGAATACCTCGGAATCCTTCCAGAAGAGCTGGAAGAGGAGGTTGTGGAAAGAGATGTCTGGTCCTCCTTTCTCAAGCTGCTGCCCCCATGACTCGACTTCGGAATAAGCAGAAGATAATAAATGGATGGATGGATGTTTTCTTGACATCACTTTGCCATCAGCCTGAACTTTGAAACTTTCAGTTTTAAAGATAAGCTTTACTTTGTGATGTTTGAAGGGGAAAAAAAAGTGCTGTAAGCATCACTCATTGTAGAAGATTTTTTTAATGTACTTCAGTTCAATTCAGTTTATTTATATAGCTCCAAGTCCCAGCAGAAGTCGTCTCAGGGCACTGTACAGAAACATTCACATACATTTATAAAAGCCAGTTAGTAAAAGTCCTCTAAGGACACCAGCAGATTGTGTTGAATCTTCCCTTTGTCACAGTCTCCCATCCTGAGCAAGCACATTGGTAACAGTGGAAAGAAAAAACGCCCTTGTAACAGGAAGAAACCTCCAGCAGAACTAGGCTCAGGACGAGCGGCCATCTGCTTCGACTGGCTGGAGTTTGAGAGGACAAGGAGAAACAAACAAAATAACAGGTCCAGGTCTACTTTCTATTGGAGGAAAGACAAACCAACTCATGCTGAGGACAGAAATAATTACAAATAGAAATGGGTAGAATAGAAGACAACAGCAGAGTGAGGAAATGTGGTCAGTTTGTCCTCCAGCAGTCTATAGCAGCATAAATAAGGGATAGCTCAGGAAATCCAAGCCAACTCTAACTATAGGATTTATCAAAAAGGAAAGTCTTAAGCCTAATCTTAAAACTAGACGAGCGGTCAGCCTCACAGACAGAAACAGGAAGTTGGTTCCACAAGAGAGGAACCTGATAACTGAAACTTCTGCCGCCCATTCTGCTTTTGGAAACTCTAGGAACCACTAGTAAGCCTGCAGTCTGAGAGTGAAATGCTTTGTTGGAAAAATATGGCCCAATAAGATCTCCAAAATTCATCTCACTCATAATCACTCAGGCCATTGGAGATGAAGCATGCCTGTGCCGGCACAGGTTTTACAGGTAATGTTGAAGCCTTCAGGGCCTGACCCACTCCATGTTTCTCAGTTTTGCAAGGGTTAGCCAGTAGGTTTGCTAATTTGTGGAAATTAATTGTGACTGAGTCAAGAACAGGAAAAAGGTGTGAATGCAGTTTGGTCAATTTTCAAAATAAAATACCATTCAGACCCATGTTTCCAAAAAGAAACAATTATCTATGTATTTTTTTCCCAGCCCAGTACCAAATTATCCATGGACCACTACTGGTCTTTGACCCAGTGGTTGCAGACTTTCACTCTAAAGAATATTGTGTTACTGTAAGTTATCTTGAAAGCCAAATCCTATTTTATTGTGTTACCTACTCATATTCTTAATTCAAAGTTACTGGCACAAAGATTAGAAATTAAAATATTCTGCTGACACTTCTCTATGAAGTCCATCAGTTGACTCAGATTTATTTTACATAAGCACAGGTAACCTCAACATGGCGTGTAAAACTAGTTATCAACCCTGCAACGATCGTTGTAAATATCAATGACAGTTTTTTAATCTTGTTGAGAAAGAACAATAATCCTAAACCTAATACTTTGGAACATGTACTGCACACTAAACTAGACATTAAAATCCAACAAAGTTCAGTCAGGTCATCTGGATGTTTTTTTTGTTGTTGTTGAGACGTTTCATCCTTCATCCAAAGGACTTCATCAGTCTGAGGAGCCACAAACAAACTCAGTCCCACAAGCGGCACACTCACATAGTGGACCTTTGGATGAAGGACGAAACGTCTCAACAAAAACAAAGCGTCCAGATAACCTGAATGAACTTTGTTGGATTTTTTTACCTGGATTATTGAGCATGAACTTTGATGTTTTCAACCACTTTGGCCATGGCTGCCTCAGAGGAGTCAACAGAGGAGAGGGATGGACATAGAAACCATCTTACCACCAGCAAACTGGTTTATCCACTATGGGAGTGTGCTGCTTGTGGGACTGTTTGTTGTTGCTCTTCGGATTGAAGAAGTCCTTTGGATGAAGGACGAAACATCTCAACAAGAAAAGAAACCGTCCAGAGGACCTGACTGAACTTTGTTGGATTCTTTACCTGGATTATTGAGCATGAATGTAGACATTAAAATATTTATGGGGAATTAAACATTTTTTTTTTATCCTTAACTGACAGCATTATAAAACAAAACATCAAATAGATGTTACAATAGTTCTAACAGAGGAAATAATTACATTTAGCAATTCTTTTTTCAGGCACAGCTCAAATCCCTTTGTTTCATAGTGTGACCCTAAAAAAGTCTCTTCCTTTAGGGGCTAGAAAACCTTTGTCTTGTTCTTCATCACAACAACAATTTGGAAACCTTTCCCCATTTACATAAAACATAAAGGGGTCAAACAACTGATGAAATGAGATTCAGTTTGCTGCAGGGTGCGCTTCACTTGGCTTGATTTTGCAAAATCGTTATTCTTCAGCACCAAAAGCGTCCTGATCTCATCCCCCGTGCTCGTCTTTGGTGGATATCTAGTCCTTTTGAAGTCACCAAATGTCGCTCATTGATTTGTCCTGTGTTCTGCAGCCTCCTTTGGTGCATATTGTGGGTTTGCGAGACTCACAAATAACCCGTCCTTTTACACACCACATTGATGAGCACATCACAAATGAACACTCTGCACATAAATCAGCTTTTGAGTTACCTGTCAAATTCTATTTGATCTCTTGAATATTGGGGTTCAACATGATAAACAGCTGCATTTTCATTTTATTACATTGAGTAAACAGTTGAAATTAAAATTGTGTCAGCTGTTAAATGTGTTGTATTACAACAAATGTTACAGCACAAGTACAGAATATTTCACACTCAACGAGCTGCAGTGGATCAGCTCTTGGAGCCCAGGTCGTGCCATGAAGGGCGCCCGGCCTAAAACAATTTCCAAATCGGTCGTGCGCTGTGGCGACCTCTGAAGAAGGGAGCAGATGAAAGAAAAACAGCTGGAAAAAAATACTCAACACTGTATGCAAACAAGAAAAGTGAAAAAGGAATAAATGGAACTTTTTGTTTCTAACATTTATGGATTTTTCTGTTGAAAAAAAAAAAAAAAGTGAACTTGAGCACTCAGCCTATTAAATTCCTGATCATCATTTCATGATTTGTCCAGCAGAGAGCACTTATAATTTGTTCATTTTAACCACAGACAGCCTTTTGTTATTGCTTCTATTAAAACATTATTTTATTTG